GCCTCAATATAGCAGGGTTGTCGATAACGAATAATGGGTTCAATGAGAGGAAGGAATAAATTCAAACTAAATTGCAAGTTTAACCTTTCAATTCAAAATTTATTTCATTAACAGATAATATAGACTACACATAAGAACATCGCGTTAGTCAATGACCATATGTCTGCAAAGTTTTTCATAAAATACGCATTATAATTTTCAAATTTCAATCTTACAGAATTGCGACTCCTTAATTTGATATACTCCATAACTTTAATTCACACGCGTACCTAAGTCAAGGATTTTATTCAGGTTTGAAGGCTTTCGTGAAAGAATTCCGAATTGACATTTTAAAGCAGTGACATATTTCCAGGCGCAAATAATAAGGATCGTGCAATACTTGATAAACATCCATAGAAATGCCGGTCACTTCAGCCGGTCGTTGTACCGTATGTATTACCGTATAACTCGATATAACGATGACGGAATTGAAAAAAAAAATTATCACGCCCTAAACATCAACGTTATAGATACTGTTGAACATACGAGTGCAAAGTTTCATCGAGCAGCGTTCATTAGTTTAGGAGATATTCGAGGCTTACTGAATTTTGAAGACCGGCCGAGAGTCCGGCCGTAAAAGTATCCGAGAAGTGTGTCATCCCAGTGGTGTGTTCGGGAATTATTTGCTAAAGCGGAATTTAATAATTTTAATCTCTGTTTTACTCATATAAGTTCTTTACTTATTTATTTTTTTAGGCTGAAACTAAAAGGGTTTACTACCAAACAGACCTACATGATTATTAACTTGCTCATATAATCGTTTCTTCTCCTCCCATTAATAGATGTTAAACCTACCGGTAACTCAAAATCGACGTACCCATGTACAGGTTAGTAGTGAATAGCTTAATCGACAACGACAAAGAATGGATTTTAAATCTAGGAAATAGCTCAAAACCCGACAAATTCACATTGATAGTAAAATCTTCATGTGTCGGTTTGTAGATCATATTTTCAAGGCGATGCTTTTTTCGCTTAAAAAATCAGAATAAAAACTCATCCCGTGCTCCAAAAATTCTTACTTCAGTTTAGAAGTATACTCGATGATTAATTCACGAGACACATAAATTTGTAAAGACTTTGATAGCACGGCTCAATCAAAGGGAATTCCATAAATTACGGGCGATAATCTTTTATTTCGTTGCCGGGTGTGCTAGGGTGCAGAGCTTGAGGGTATAGTACGTGGTGAGAGAAAAAGAATTCTGCTCCACCTGGCCGTGCTTTATCCACTTCAACTGCGTTTCTGGTATATTTAAATCTCTTATAAATTGTTAATATGTCTATTACTATTATTTCGGATCAACAGCATGAACATTCTTTACAAAATTAAGTCGGTTCTGTTCGGCATCAGGTAAACCATGTGAACTTGGTCAATATGCTCAAATGGTCGTAGTTCCCACTGCTCTCTGCCAGTTCTGAGATGCTGGGACCCTGTGACTATGGTTAATTAAATGCAACGTGAGGATCCATTATTGTCTTGTAACTATAAATAGAAGATTTATATTTCTGCCTCATTAAATTATTTGGTTATTAATTGGCAAATTATTTATAATGAGTGAAAGCGAATTCTTTAAATAAAATGCTCTTTAGTTAGTTGGTCATGGAAAACTTGACGTATTCAGGTAAAGTAAATGTAAAGCTACTTATGGCGCATAGTGTAAAATGGGTTAGATGATTCCTTATTATGCGATCAACAGCACTGAGTTGAGAAATATTAGCAAACTCCCTGTTTTATTGGCGTGATTTCTGCCATTTTATAGCAAACTCGTGTTTTATTTCGCATAGATTAAGCAAATGCCGGCGGGCTTGGTAATACTTTAGATCAAGTGCATCCAAAAAAAGGTGTTTTTTTTTAATTATGTGTTTTTTGGGGTGTAGATTAAGAATCTGAAATCCGTTTTGGCGGTCGGCATCCGAAATTTTTAATGGAACCTGTTCCTAACTGGACCTAACCTGCGAGGTTTTCGTTGATTGGCTAGGTTTTTCCGGCTGCCGGACGGACTCCAAACATAGAAAAAACCTATTGGCTAGGTTTTTCCAGCCGCCGGACGGACTCCAAACATAGAAAAAACCTATTAGCTAGGTTTTTCCGGCCGCCGGACGAACTCCAAACATAGAAAAAACCTATTGGCTAGGGTTTTCCGGCCGCCGGACGAACTCCAAACATAGAAAAAACCTTGCCGATCAACGAAAACCTCGCAGGTTAGGTCCAGTTAGGAACAGGTTCCATTAACAATTTCCGATGCCGACCGCCAAAACGGATTTCAGATTCTTAATCTACACCTCAAAAAACACATAATTAAAAAAAACACCTTTTTTGGATGCACTTGATCTGAAGTAATACCGCGGGCTTTCCTTCCACTCTAGTAACCACAGACCAAAGTAAAGCTTATGAACATGAAATGGACGGCGCTGAATTTTTAATACTTGTTGACCGTTCGATTTATTAATCAACTCTGAAGTGTCAATCCCTATCAGGCTGTCACTGGTCCATTTACTTGACACTGTTGGCTTGCCTCAAAATCCCCTTCAACACCACATGTGTCGTCGTGCAGTTATTATCGTGGAATATTCCAGTCTTTGCACAAATAAATTTTGTCCGTACGATGCCCTTCCGAAGCTCATCGATATTTGATTTGAAAGAGCTATAAGGTTTTTCTCTTGGATAAGATTTATAGGTATTTTTATATATATCGCAATTCACGGAGGATTTATGAATTCCAGTATTTGCATCAATTCGCCAACTTCTGGAAATTATAACTATGTCAGTAATTGTAAAACTTGCAGGTTATAGATTGTTGCCCAAAGAACGACTCGTACCTTAGACGGAATGGTAGAGGATGCATCTTCATTTGTTAAAATCGACAACTAGATAGGCTGGTAGTCTTCCCGAATTGAATCGGTCCATCAATACTGAGCATCTGGGTAGAACTTTTCAACCAATTTACGAATGAAGTGACACCTATTTTCAAGTAGTTCCCAACCAGCCACCTTACGTTGAAATGACTTTGTTTAAACGTTAACCCAGCGGAACCAACTTCTAATAAACGTTATTGCATCATCATTTGTATGTAAGGTATTATTTCGGTTGTTCATGAGACCTTATGAAGAGAAAACACCAATCAGCTTGTGGCATTTAGTTGGTGGCAATCGTTCGAAGTGGAATTTGTTGAGACGCAAATAATGTGGGGTTTCATTTTCGTGTTAGATAGTTTTTCCATCTAATCTACTTATTACTTTCCGCAAACCCGAAGAGCATCTTTTTTTCATTCATGTAGGACATGATATTCAATTCTAATAATTTTGTTAACTCAGTCTTACCATTAACGGGCTTTCGAGGTAGCATGCCGATACGAATATAATAGGTTACACTACGGAAATATTAAATCCAAGAAGTGTATAGAACTCATTTTGTGATCTAACTAGCAAGTAAATTTTTTCTTATACCCATGTGTTAATTACGCATTACTCCCATTCTGGTATCATATAAGAAAATGTTTTACTTGAAAGATCAATAACTTTCAAACTGATGGTGGAAGAAACGCCAAACCAAGAATTCTTAGCTCAACGGGCGTTTTGAATGGTAATTCCTTGACATCCTACACTCGCAAGTTCAAACTAAGACCTAATTTTTTCATTTGATACCCCATAACTCATATCATGTTTAAGGTAAGTCGATCTTCGGGAGTTCCTAAATCAATTGATAAATTATGCAAGGGCAAAATTTCTCATAGACCCTTGACCCGGTATATAAAAGCTGAGGTTTTTCATACGTCGAACAAATATTTTTTTATAAAGAACAAATTTAAATGTCTTTTTCAAAATTCAGAAGCCTTTGCGCGATTTTTTTTAGACAAGGGTAGTATATAAGCAGTGCCAGAATTTTCTCTTGCTCACGAACAGGAGAGAAGCCAGAAAATTGTTTTTTATTCTATTGAAGAAACTTTTTTGGTTTTCATTTTAGCTTCTTCATAATTCATAGCATCCATCTGCAATTCCGAAGCTCGTGCATTAATTTTCACTGGTGTGAATACTTGGCGCGTCAGTAACTTGTTAGCCTCATACACATGACGGATTGGGCAAGGCTGAGCTGGCGTACGGGTGTGTTAAAAGACTAGGAATCATCCCGATCAGAATTTTAATTTCAAAGGTAACAGATGCTGATGGAAGCTCTACTAAATATTTGGTTCCGGTTTGGACGAGGGAGCAGCTTTTGTCGCGCATGCAAATGGCCATGCAAATGGCCATGCAAATGTTCACGGAATATATTGTCGCTTGATTTTCGAATGAACGCTGGCGATCGGCCTACAAGTTTTGGATTTGTTTGGTATCAAATTCTTTTCCATCTGCCTTCGGTATATTTGCGATAACGTATCACATAATTATAATATTAGGTTGCAAGGAACAATAAATGAAATAATTTAGCAATTTATATATCATATAAATCCATTGATTAAAATTTGTTCTGCTTTCTGGATTGTAGTCAAGTTACCCTGTTTATTCGGGGAAAAAATAGTGTTGTGACCGATTTTATCGAGATAATCATACCGAAAACATTAGCAACCTGTAGATTTTAATGTGGACATGTGCCATAGAATGCACTTTGGTCTGGCCAGTCAACCTTGTTATTGTCATTTTATTTTTTATCATCATAACCTAGCTGTTAGATATCATTTATCGACATGACAAAATATGCTGTATCAGAGACATAAAATTCATCACATTTTTTATTGGGTTTAAAGTAGTTAAATCGCCTTGTGAGACTTCATTTTTCTCCATAATATTTATTATGTCGAGAATTGCTTTAAATCTAGTAACAGATATTGATTGTATTTCCAAAATTGACTGGAAATTGAATCGAATTTATGACCGTTCTTGAAAGCTTGTCAAGTTAGAAATGATAAATATATCAACATTTTCTTGTAGGATTTATTTTTAATGAATGTATAATTATATTCTTTAACAGCAGCTAGCATGATTCGCTAATATCGAAGTAGACCAACAGTTAAAATGCAAATAAAGTTCATTTTCAGCACATTTGTGCTGCTAGTGCTGATATTGTCTCAAGACGTTAGCCAAGTTTCGGCCACAAATAATGTCGTTCCTTCGGTCATGAGAAAAATTTCGCTAGTTTTGAAAAATTCCAGATTACGATCCATGCCGTTATCCTCCGTAATTCGGCTGCTTAAAAATCGGAATCCTGCACCTGGAACTCGAGCTTATTGGGTCAGGAGACGTTTGGATTCTGTATTCGGAGCTGCATCATCTCAGAGATATGGAGTCAGGATTCCTTCCGTAAGCTTTCTTTCCTTTGTTTAACCTGGAAACATCGTTTATAATTTCAAAAATTTATGATCTGTCTCGGCACTTTCTAATTTAAAAAGTAGCAAAGTACAAAATAAATTCTCCTGCTATTCGAAGGAAATTAATCCTGTTGTTAGCCTCCTTTCTTATCGAATAATGTATTAGATAACATCAAGTGATTTATTAACTATATAATAATCTATCAAGCAATGGAAATTACCGTAACTATTGAAAATTCCATTAAAAGTTTCAATGTAGGTAAGTTTTATTGTGTGCGCGTTCTTAACGCTCTATAATGCTATTGTCTCAGACTATCAGCAAAAAATTATTCCCGCGCATTCTTATTCATAGACCACCAGATTTTTGCCGTGATTCTTGTCCAACGAATAATTATTTTTCGTACATCCGACAGCCCGCTATCATCGCACAGCAAGGCTATCCGTACGAAGAGCATTTCGTTACCACGCGGGACGGATATGTCCTTTCGGTTCACCGCATTTCCGGACCACGAGGAACCAAGTCCGGCAACGCAAATCCGAGGAGGAAATCCGTGCTTCTGATTCATGGTCTCCTCATGTCCTCGACTGGGTTTCTTGCATTGAGCCCGCAGTACAGCTTAGGTGGATAAAATTTCTCAATTTTTAAGCTAAAAAAATCAATAAATGAATGTTTTTAATGTTGATATATATGTCATTTCGATTGAGTTTTTCGGTTCTTGTTTTTGTTTATATATTATAACATTTTAGTGTCAGCTTTAATTAGGACATACAGGCCTGCATAGCAGATTTTTCACGATCCGACCGCCTCGATGATTTCGACCACAATTTTTACAACGAATTGCGGGTATCGAACCCCTAACTCGCTGCTCTAATCGTGGTGATCATAACCACTCGGCCATCAAATATTATATTATTTCTACAGCCATTTCATATATTATTTTTCTGCAATCTTTTTCAATCTAAATCATAGCATTTTCCTGCAGGTTTCATCCTTGCTGATGCAGGCTGCGATGTGTGGCTAGGCAACTCGCGCGGTAACACCTACAGTCGCAAACACGCCTGGCTTAATCCAGACGTCGACCAAAGTTACTGGCACTTCAGGTAACATTATTAAGTTATCACTTATGATCAGTTATCACTTATGATCAGTTATCACTTATGATCAGTTATCACTTATGATCAGTTATCACTTATGATCAGTTATCACTTATGATCAGTTATCCCTTATGATCAGTTATCCCTTATGATCAGTTATCCCTTATGATCAGTTATCACTTATGATCAGTTATCACTTATGATCACTTTTCTCATCACTAGGAACATTTTTCCACTAGGTTGAAAAATTAACTAATTAAATGATAAAAATATCACATTGGGAAACAGATATCTTCCTTGATTCGCGTAGGTAGAAATAGGGCCTAGATTGGAAATTCTAGATATTAGAGTCCATGATTGCAAACGTGAATATCTAATAGCACTGTTTAACACACTGGTTGAAATTCTATTTTATTTATATCTGTCGTAAAAATTAATCTAAAAAAATACGTCTACTTTCCGCACGTCTACAAATCACTTTAATTTTCAGTAATTATATTCAACAAATTGTTTCTTCATCCACTGACAATATCAATGTTTGCTAGCTAGCATTTTGGGCCAGAGAATAACTTAATTTTATTTTATCGCACAGTTTTGTCCTCGGGATAACTTAATTCTTTTATATCGTGCATTTTGGTTTAGGTAACAACCTGAATTTTTTATTTCTTACATGATATGACCGAGAATAACTGGTAATTTCGTACATCTTAATTACCAGCCAGGATGAGATGGGTGAATATGACGTGCCTGCCATGATTGACTACATTCTCGCCCAGACTGGACAAAGCCAATTAATTTACATGGGCTACTCTCAAGGAGGAAGAGTTGGTTTTATGGCCGCCACCAACACAACAGTCGCTAACAAGGTGAAAATTTTATAACCCATTTTGAACTGAAATAAAATGAAAAATTTTATAACCCATTTAGAACTGGAATAAAATGAAACATCTTTTAACCCATTTAGACTTAAGTAAATTAAAAATTTTATAATCCATATGAAAGTTAAAGAAATTCGAAATTTTATAACCCATTTAGAACTTAAATAAAATGAAATTTTGTAACCCATTACGAACGGGAGTAAAATATTCTCTAATCGTACAAGACAAATTATATAATAAATTAGGAACAATATCAATATCGTCCCAAATGTTATATAAATTTTCATAAAGTTCACTAGTTACAATGTGGTCAGGAAAATAAAACCTTCACATTTGACCATAAATGTTAAATAAAAACCGAAAACCTTTAAACAACTTCTGATTGGACAAATTTCCGGTACGCTCTACGAAAGGCTGCTACTAAAAAGGATATTTTTTCCAGATCAAGCTGCTTGTAAGCATCGCAAGTACGGGATACATTTCTGCATATAGGCGTGACGATCCGCTGATAAACTGGGCTGCTAATTATTGGGTAATTATTATAATTATTAACAACGTTTATCGGGTAAATATCGACGATTAATGCATGCTGAATAATTTATTATCGCTTCAAATAAATGCTTTCAATTTGACAATTAATGCTTGTCTCGTATCCAAAATAAGAATTAGCATTACTTAATTCATTGCTTGGTCGTTCACCTTCCAACAGGCACCATTGCATCGAAGCAAAGTTGATTGAACGTTGTTCCGACGTTATCTACACGTAATCAATGTCGTTTCAACGTTATTTGCCCGATATAACACAAACTTTACACTTTAAAACTGTATTTCGGCAATGGTGTATCAGGCAAATATGATATTTCAAATATATTTCAAACATGAAATAAAAGAACTCGAGTACCACACGCATCAGACGACTTGTATGATTAACTATCCCTTATGTATGCATCATTATTATACAGACCTATCTATTTCCTTATTCTTCTTTTGTTAAAAGATAAAATATGTCATCGACTTTCACGTTGTCTACGAATAATTCACCATCATTAATTTATTCTTATAAAACTCAAGCACGACCGCCAAATCTTCCTTGTGTAGTGACATCTATCCATTCATTTCATGTGTACTATAGCTTATCCATCACGTAACACCATAAAATAATTCTGCGTGCCTGCAGAATCTTGACAAAGTCTCAGAGCTACCGCACGAGTCGTTTTATTTCTGTCCGACATGTCCCGAGTATATAGCAAGCTAATTTGCATCTGTCGCACGAAGCCTCGGTAGTCAATCTCGTCTAGAAAAAGTTTCTTAAAGTCCTAGGTTACGATTATATTACCGCAATTGCTGTATCGAGGACTAGTTCGTAAACGAAGCAAGATAAAAGTTTGGATTGACATGATAGCAACAGCGAGAAGGTGTTATGATTTACTGCATATGTGCCGAATTACGAAGGATTATGAAGGATATTCGCTCATACGAGCGAAGGATTAGCATTTCGCTCCGTTGAAGCTCGTTGAGATTCTATAAAATCATGCAATATACATTTTATCCACAAACTACTAACGACAAACACAGCCCTAAAGGTGACCCAATATTTTAAGTCACATTAATCGCGTTTGAGAAGCTAAATAATAATTAATTCTGATTAAGCTCTATGTAGATGTATGACGGTACATTTCAGTGTAACACAACAAAATGTAAGCTTGATTTCTAGAGGACAGTCAACTTTCTATAACAAACTGGATGCATTTCTTTCCAATGAAACCATATTTTTCAAGGTAACCTGAAAACAGTTAATTGAGTTCGAACACGTTCATTCTTTTTGATCTATTGATTCTTTTTGATCTATTGATCTATATCATGAAATATTCTGGTCCCTAAATACATATGTAACGCGCATAATTTTTGTATTAACCTTTGATCGCCACAAAAGTTCCGTTTAAAAGCATTTTTCCTAATTGCAGAGAAAACTAGAGATGCTCGGCAAAGGGGAAGTATTTCAGCGTGATCTTGTCAGGCTCTATTGGACGTTGACTGCTTGCCGGATCGGATCGCCGCTGCGGGGACTTTGTCGAATAGTCATGTTACGAATTTGGAGCGAAAGAATTTATCCAGAAGACTTTCATGAAGAAGTAATATTTGCGAAAACTTATGCTGTTAAATATTGAGGTTGTTTAATATATATTTATTCGTGAAAGCATATCAGTAAACGTGCAAGCGTGATTTATCGGTCAACAGTCCTGACGTTCAAATTAGAGTACGAGTCAACGTCAAGACCTTGTAACGTAATTACGATACTTATGAGTGAAAATTGATTCATATCTGTTTATTTTTTCTATGCTTGATGCCAGTGTGTAGAACATTATAATTTGTCCCACGTACTTAGTAAACGCAGATCAAATTAAAATTCATTATTTGAGTGCAAAACCTCGGACCAATAATATGTGTGATCATGTTTTGCTGCCGTATACTTAACTTTTCACCGATCTCATTCAGGATATGATACCAGTGGTCTTCCCAAATGCACTCGAGGGTTCTTCTGCAAGACAACTTTGCCAAACATTCCAAGTTGCCTGTACGTTCACGGTACTTTCATTTTGAGTAGATTATGAAGATTTGTTGTTGAAAACCCCTCTCGTTTGTAAAAAGTATTGTAGAAAAATTGTACATTATCAGTACTTACGCGATTTCAAATATTCATAATATTGCCGCCAATTATAGATTATTCTGCACTAGTTCTTCCGAAATTATCTTTCTCTTCACTACTTCAGGCATAATAACTTCTTTGGGCTTTTTTTTTTTTATTTTGTTGATCTTAGGTTTTTTAGTAATTTTCATTTCAATATCATGAAATTGTTTCATTTGTTATTTATTCTGTGAAAATAAAGTAACCTAATTGTGTTCGGTTTACAGTCGGAGAGCTGCAGAAGTTTGACTTCGGGGTGGCGGAGAACCGGCGTTGCTACGGCCGTGCCACGCCCCCGGTTTACGACTTATCCAAGATTCTCTGCCCAGTGGCGGTCTACTGGGCGGAAAATGACTATACAGTCAAAATTAAGGTAAAAAAATCATGAAAATTGTCATTTTTTTACACTTGAAGCCGTGCTCTACTGACGACAACATTAGCTACCAGGGCCTTTTCCTTCGAAACTTGCTCATATACATGTAGCGTCCGATTTCTAGTCTATGATTAGCGGATTTAGCTTCAAAAGCTATAAATTGATAGGCAGATGGAGTGACTAAGCTCTTCGTATTTTCGATAGCACTGTGCCAGTCTTTTAGGTACGAATTGCATTGACCAAGAGCTTTGCATCCAGGCTGTTTAAGGGCTAAATAATCTGTTTACATCTAGGCTCCGAACTGACAATTCCGGTTCAGCAACCTGTAAAGGTTATGTGTCATCATTGTATTTCCTCTAAAAACGTCTAAAATTTTTACCATAAGTTCAAGTTTTGTGCTAAGGCGTCTTAATTAATGGCGTTTGTAAAAACTCGGCAAGCGGTGTTCAGTAAAATATTTAGCTGAGCAAAGTATCTTCTATTTCATAAATCCAGTCGAGTCAAATGAAATAGAGACGGAAATCTGAATGTGAATGAAAACAATAATGCAGAATCAGTTGTTTCATTGACTAAATATACTTAAACTTATGACCAGAATTCCAAAGAATCATCACTTTTTCACAGGAAAGAACCTTACCTTATTCCGATGAAATGAGACGAGACGAGAATCAGATGAAATCTTTTGATACTCTAAATTTTTTAACGCTCTTCAGGTTTAATTTCTCAACATTTTCATGTATTTGGAATGTAAAACGAGTATCGTATGTTAATCGTAACGCATAACTTTAGGTTAAAGTTTCTATATTCGTAACATAAGACTAACAGGTACACGTTATGCGTTACCTCACTGTTACTTGATTAGTTCGATTTTGTAATCGCAGTAACGCTGTATTATCCGCGTCCACGGCAAGTGAAGTGTTTTCGGTAACTAATACATGCACACAGAGAAATGGATGACACTTTGTCCACATAGCGATGCACTTTTTACCCTTGAGTTTTCATCCTGGCCTATAGTTCGGTCCGTCTGACAATAGAACGTCTCTGTGCTATGGCCGCTCTGGCATCGCGCCGTGGGGATGAAATTGAGTCACTAGTTGCATAATATATGGCCATCAATTTTTCTGAATGTGTCGAGTATCATTTAATTTAATTTGTTGAATCGAAAAATTCATATTTAGCTTTATTTAGATGTATTTAGATGTATAGTCCATGTCGTAGCAAATTCATAGTAAATATTATCAACACCAGCTAAATTTATAGGCTTCTGGAAAATTTCAACTATAGCTGTTGACAACATGAAGTTGTACCATTATTTATTATAAATTGCCTTATTATTAATTACCATAGCATGACTCTCAAATTGGTGTTAATCTAAAAAATTCTGATACCTTAATTTGAACTTTATATGTCTAAGAAATTTTCAACTTCGTTAAAGCATGCATACATTTTCTCAACATGGTAATCTCCACTGTTAAATCTAATAATATTAATATACTTTTTTATAATATTATAGTTTCTTATACACTTGTACCATAATCCATAAATCCATTGCAATTTTTCAGGACGTCGAGAGACTTGAAAAATCCCTGCCAAATTTGATAAGGAATTACCGCGTCACCAGCGATCCTTTCGACCACGTCGACTTTGTCTACTCGTCGAAAGCGAAGGAGCTCGTATACCCTGACCTCCTGGAACTCCTTCGTCGAATCTGATGTGCGAATTTCCTAGCAAAATCGTGGGAGTCTGTCTACATAATTCCAAATTTGTTTTTTAATTTTGATACTCAATCGTTACGATGTCGTTTAAATAGTACATTTGATAAGAAATAAATTTTTAGGTTTAGTTCCTTATTCGTAATTTTAATAAATTAGTAAATTAGCAAATCAGTAATTGATATATTAAACTGAGAACGAATAAATAATTTCGTTTTTATCGGTTTAATGAAATGAAATCACTGAAGGTTTCGTCTTTCTGTCCTTTGTTTGTCGCGTCAGTTAAGCGGATTTAATTTCATGTTGTGTGGATTGATTGAATATTTTTCTATCAATTTAATGATTATATTCAGTGTTTTTCGCTGCATTCAGTTTAGATGTCAAGACCTAAGATCTACCGCGTTGAATCGCAACGAACGACGCTTTCAGTTCACTGTCAGTAACATACGTGGGCGGTGGGTGTAGATTTAAAACAAACTTGAAATAAAAAATAACAATCCACCTTCTCGTCAGTGGGATTTTCCAACCTAAAAAACAATAATTTTTTTTAGTCGACCAATAACAAATTCTTATTTCATCATTCATTAATAATCTTGCGTTATAAGAGAGCCTGAAATACCTTTCCCTGTTTCTATTTAATTGCCGAAATGAAGCAAAGATCTTGCTTGAAATATTTAAACACCTAGAGCAGCCAAATGCATAGCCGACCGATTAAATAATAATCGACGGTGAACCGAAAAATGTTGCAGATGTCACAGTATGCCAGGGTATAGTTTCTTTGTGTGGTTTCTACACAAATTCGTGGTAAAACAACTACACCACGATTAATAAGTTTGTTATAGTATCGATCTGCGTCGTTATGTTATGCATGCTCTCTGGTTCTGTTTGGGTGCTTACGTACGTGATTAGTCACAGAGAAAACGCTTCTTGTTAATGTATACAAGACTTTCTCATCTTCATCATAAGTCGTTATTATAGCAAGAATGTCCTGTGGCCGCGAGTATAAGAGCCGACTCCTTATTCACTTTTGCTCATGACAACTTCTCGCGCTCGATTGTCGAACTTGCAGATCACAAGACTCTACTTAGAAGAAATTACCCCTCTAGGTCTATAATTTGCACAAATTAGTCGACAAAACTAAAATTTTAGCTTATGTCTGTGAAGGTTCCCTGACATAACCTGAAAAATCTAAATTAAGAAACAGCTTCTTACGCTGAGTATTCATCAACCCATTAAGTTGATAATTTCGGTCATTCATTTAATTTCGGAGCGAAATGAACGAAGGCGCATCCTTTTTCGAGTGGCTCCTAAATTAGAGGCTTATTTTCAAATGAGAGACAGACGCTCATTTCCATACGAGCGCAAGCGATGCCTGATTTCGAGCTGATGTCAAAATACGCTCGGTAAAATTCACCTTGTCACTTTGAACTTGAAGTGGCTTCTGCACTCGAAACTGCAAATTTGAATAAATCATTTTGATCTCGCTGGATTTCCATTAGACATTCGATTTAATAAATAAATGAGCAGTGTATATCGCTGAAATTTTTAAATACCTAGGCGTTTGAAGTTAAATTCGAAGCCTTCATCACAGCCGAAAAATTTTTAATGCAATGGGACTAGCATGATTCCTATGAAATGTGCAAATAAATCCCGTACCAGGTCGTGCGACTCAGAAGCTTATACATTATTATGGCAAAAGTGAATATTTAAAAGAAATTTGCGCATTTCACATTATAGCGTCACACATCTTGTGATTCCAATGTGATTAGATCCAATGTGATGAGATCGGAATCTCATTAAGAATTACACTAATAATTTTTTGTTAATGTGAAGAAGTTTGTTCGTAAAGAAAGTTCTGGTTCCCATCTTGTTTTGATTTACTGGAACATATTTATTCAACTATTATAGACCTAATCAATATCATAGCTTATTTATCCTTATTATTATTTTTCGTCTATGTCGATGAATGCTTATATATTATATAATTATAAAAGTTCAAGAAAATTTCGAGCGAGTTGATAATCATTTTTACAAAATTTACAAAAAAAAACATTATTGAGAACTTGACATGACTATTAACACCGAAGTTAAATTACATTATAATAAATTGTTTGGCCTTGAGGCGCGGAAGAATTTTCGTTGATTGAGTGTATCATTTCATGCTACGATCGGATTTAAATAGATTGAATTTATTTCATTTTTATGACGTGCAATTCAACTTGATGAAATTCCGTGGTACTGACAGACTATTGCATCACATTTAAGCAATTTTTTTGGTCTACCGAATTAAGTTACTCTCATGGATCACTTCGACTAAACAGTCTTCATTAAATTTCATACTTTATTAGCAAAATCTGGATCATTGGGCCGCAGGAATTCCGATGATATTATCCAAGCATTCATGATTTTTTTGCTTTAAAAATTCGTCAAAAACTCTCTGAATCAAGATTGTCCCTAAAGTTTACTGTCCGTATTTATCTCAACCAATTTGGACATGCACAAACAATCACCTGTCATTCATGACAATTTGAAAAAAAATATATTTTGATGCTTTCGCGGATAATTTCCTAAATGAATGGATAGTGCGACATTACGCGTCAACGCAGTTATGCAGCTCAGCCTCACACAGTATTTTTCACAGCATTTTTTAGAATTTTTCCGTCCTCATTAAATTAACTAAACTCATGTTATTTCCGCAGTCTCGCCGAGGCATGAATTAATGCCCGTAACTTCAAGGAGTTGAGGAGTTGTTATTTTGGCTGCGCGAATATTAAACCAAAGAAGCTTTTTTTATTAACAATATTGCAAAATTTAGTTACTACATGATCACTAATTACACTAATAACTATATGTTAATGAGAAGTTTCTTCGTAAAGAAAGTTTCGGTTTATATCTTGTTTTGGTTTAATAGAACATTTCAAAAATTTAAAACCCAGTTCGTAATCAATAATCTAAAAAAAAACTTTTTTCTTATATGCTCGTGGGTCTGGTTGACTAATATAACTAAAGTCTTTTAAACTTTAAACGAAGGCATTCCTGGCTTAGTTATATGAATTCATACAACTATTCTAGAGTTTCATTCCATCATACAAAAATAAATTAATGTTGAGCGTTAATTTATTTTTTTCTTGCATGGTTTGGCTGCTGGCAAATATTTGTTAAAAATTCTTCCGCTCCCAAAAGCTTCTGTAGTTTTCTACACCACCGTAAATCCGGCGCAGCCAGTGGCTTTCACATTTTCAGGCTCTGTCGTGTTTGGAGCTAGGTTCTCTCCAGTGTCTGCTGCTATAGGCAGACTGTTATGTTTAAAGACTGTTCCACTACAGTGTCTGCTGTTAGGAAGACTATCATATGTCGAGCGTGTTTCACTCCAGTGTCTTAGAATAGAATAGAATAGAATAGAAGTGTCGGCGCTGAAGAAATAGGCCCATGGCCTGTTGCCGATTCTTGAACTTTTCGTGACTTGATTCACAAGGGATCCGGCCTTTGGAACCCGATCTTTCCATAACTGACGATTGATTGAGATAGCTGCTGGACTTATTGCCTGGTCCGTAATTTGCTAGGCATCTTAAGACTGAACATATGCTCCTGCATAGCTTCGTCTGGACTTATTGCCTGGTCCGTAATTTGCTAGGCATTTTAAGACTGAACATATGCTCCTGAATAGCTTCGTCTAGTCTGTTTTTGAAGATGTTCATACTCGGAGCGTCAACGATGCTAGGTAGACTCAATCAAATGTCGAGCGTGTTCTACTTTAGTGTTTATCAATTTCTTGCAATTTTTCAGGCGGGTATATGGACAATAGGAATCAAAGAACAAAGATCATAACATCTTGAAATATCTTTACGCTATACAGGATACGGGTGAACTTTTAGTAATTGGACATTGAAATAACGTATTGCTCCTGACGAAGTATTTCATTATTTTGTGTTTAGTGTAAGCAATCGTAGTTTGGCATTGTCAATCAATAATTCATTCATTATTCACATTTTTTTCCGAAAATTTGAGATCAAGCTGTGAAGCTGAGATTTATTTCCTGTTTTTTTTTTTGCTGACATTGGTTAAATTTATTTGATTCAAATTTTTGTGCATTCACTTCACGGCTTCTTCGTCCGACATTAAAAACTATATACCAATAATTGTTTTTATAAATATCGAGTTCAATTTATCACTTATTTCATGCCGATTCGTTTCCTCGATCTTTCTAAGTCTTACTGAATTAGTCATCTCTCTACGACTTTCAATGTTATAACCACTATCTATTTTTAGGCCTATATTATTAATCTTGCTTGTGTTATAATTGGCAACATCCAGAGCATTATTCATTTCAAATATTTGAAAGCAGCCTCAATCTCCTCAAATGGTAGTAATATTATTGAAACTAAGAAAATCAGAGTGTAAAAACGTATTCTCACATTATTGTTGCTTGATGGAAGGTCTGCAATTTCGATTTTCATTGTCGCCAAATTTGCAAGCCCGGTAAAATCTATCGCTAAAATACATCAATCGTTTGATAATAAATCGTGCACATGTAAATTAATTATTTTCGAGAAGCTCGTGACCAATCAGTTGCGCATGAAAATAAATGCTTTCTATTGAGGAGACAGAAAATGAAGCCATTAACAAATCAAGACTGCAGGAATGAAAAGCTTAAAATTCTATTTTTTTTTATTAAAACTAAGCAACATTATATCCTATCGTATACATTGCTCAAGTAATTTTTGCAATTTCTGAGACACTAGATGATAAATCTAAACATATTTTTCATAAGATCGCTGTAATTTTGATAGAACTGATACTTGATACTTTACTGATACTTGATGTTATGACATTCTACAATTTGAGTTGATGTTTAGGGAACTTTTTTACAATTTATACATGGTATTGTTCATTGCAATTGACGAGTGAAATCAATTTGAAAAATTATTGGCACACGCCATCCAGTGGACTTCACAGCTTTGGAACGCTATCACTATTAGAAGAATTAAGCATTTGCTCTGCATTTGTACTCTCATCTATTTCAATTATCTTCACTTTTGGTGCACTGACTGGAGCAATTCTTGCCAAGTTAAAGATGGCATTGGATTGCGTAAAAATGGTTGTGTTCAAAATACGATTATATGAAGATATATCTGAAATTACGCCAGCAGAGCTGCTATGGGTGTAGCAATCGATGGAGTTTAAGCCGATAGCTGGCTGTCTATTGCATGAACGGACAAATGTAGGGGTGATGGATAAGAGGTTATCTTGGTTTTGGAAAAGATCGTCCGATGCTGTAGAAGAAAAGGAGTTGTTTACTGATTTATCCTTGCCTTTTACGATTGTCTTTTTAGAGTACCGCTTTGTGCCTGCAGTTGAACTAGACAATTTGGATGTGTTCATTACTTCTCTTTGGCTCTGTGCACTTGATTTTGAGCTACAACGACTTATATCGATCGTTGGAATAACACTCGATTCCACTTCAACTTTCCTCATTGAAGCGGAATTGATAGGTTGATTTTCTGATTCGTCTTCTGTAAGTGATGATGCTGTCGGTAATTGTTCATGTGCCGTAGTTCTGAGAACAGCATTCGTAATATCAGTTCTTGGCATTTCTTTCGAGGTGTCTTTCGATGAGGTTGAGTCGTTCCTCTGAGACATTACAGCTGCGATTTCGCTCGTTTCAGAAGCTGATATGCTACTTTCTCCTCTATCAGTGTTGTCTACCACTTTGTACGAACCAGCAAGTTCTGATAGTTCACTTTCGGAACTCTCTTCATCCGAGCTTCCAGAAAAAGTTCTTGAAGAATTTCCGCTATCGTGATTCACTAGAGAAACAGGCGATACTGATGCCGATTTTATCTGAACTTCATTGGCAGCCACAGACGCTGCAACTTGAGTCCTATCTTTGGATTCACTCGATTCACCTGGTTTCTGAAGATCTTTATTGTTCATTTTCTTATCATAATTACCTAAATACATTGAACTTTCAATTTGAGTACAATCTACATCAGATTTGGAGATGTGATTTCTTTTTGCCGAATGGCTTCCTATTGGAACTGGATTCGAGTTCGAATTGGATTGATGCGTACTCACAATAGCTCCAAGGCGGTTAAAATTTTCGTACTTTTGAACGCCTTCAAACATGGGATTCGTGTTTTGTGGTAGAATGTTTGAAGGAAATCCGCTTGGCATTGCACCATGGAGCTGTGGCGCAATTGGATGCGAAGGTATTACGCCATAAGCCTGGTTCTGGAAGGCATCGTTGGCTAGCATCATCGGGCCAGGCTGAATGCCTCCTTGTAGTGGCTGAGCCCCAGGATGCATGCTCAAAGGAACGTGAGGCAGAGCGGAATACTGAGGCTGCTGATGAATTGTGTTCCCTTGGGGTATTTGAGGAGCCAGCGTCCCCATTGATGCATTGAATGGTCGCTGCATGGCATGTGCTGCCATGTCCTGGTAGTTAGCGATCATTGGATTGGCGTAAGCGGCGGCCATGGTCTTCAGTGGAACTCCTCCTGCTAAATCGTTCATTGGGATTCTGACTTCACCAGGATGTTCGGATAGAATATCTACTGATCGGCTTGCGGCTTTAGCTTTCATACACTTAAGCACCTTGAGATTAATGCTAGCACATTCTGCATCCAACAAACTTCCTTTCGCTACCTCAAGTAGAGCACATTTCTTCATAGGGTGATCCTCTAATTCTGCTTGCTGCAGCGAGAAAGCTGCTCGTTCAGTTTTCGATTTAATCTTTTCCCTGGCAGTGATCTCGAGCATTTCTGTAGACTCGTGCCAAGTAATTTCCGTGACTGGCGTTGTGTTAGAAATATTCCATCCTGGAGGAGCTACGCTTGATCCCATAGGAGTTGAATACGGCACCGTGACGCTGCTTCTGATCCCGTCAACTGAGGTTGTTTCGTTCAGTGGAGTCGATTTCATCTGAAAAAAAAAACATTTATCAATTTTAAATGCAATTAAAAGGAAGACGACTCAGATACATCAGAAAAATATAATATTATATAATTAAAGTTTACTTTGCGTTCTAATTTCGTTCGTGGGTCAATAAATATATCAATAATTTAATTTTCTACCACGTAGAAAATTAGTTTACAAAGTAAACAAATAAATTAGTTTATACCTGAGCTTATGAAATATCAATTACTTTCTTGTTTTCGTTCGGGCAACAACGTCTTACTAAAATGATGAGGAGATAATGAAGTATTTACTGTATATTAATCTAGCCTCAATACCTACGCTATGATATCTCAAATCTCAATCATTTCTAAATAAAAAAAGTTGACCAAAGCATAATTTTGTGATTCCTCATATAATACAATGGAAATTCAAGATAACTTTGTCTGTATTCAACAATTGTAAAAAATTTTATGTCGTGCTAAGAAAAAATTGCTTCTCTTATGCCGTGATAAAAAAAAAACTTGTCATTCGCTTTATGAAAAAATTGAAGCCAACTCCCTTTTTGTGTGACTGTAGAAACCTAGAAACCACCATTCGTTATCCATGGCTGAATAGTGACTATCGTTCTAAAGGCAACGGACTCAAAACTGCGTATCATGTTGAAGTGTGAGATCAATTATTTCATTTATGATGCCATTTTATGATGCTATTTATGAGTCCTCACCTTTGATAGTCAAAGGAAATTATATTATTCAAGTCATAATTCTTAGTTATTTATTATAATGACCATAAATCGTTGGAATGACGATATATCTGTATCTTCGTCCACATGTCTCATAACTGGGCAAAAAAAAATTGGACGACCACAAGCCGAGATTTTTTTCCTTGTTTTGAGCTACTAGAGGCCTAGAGGAGGGAAGGAGGAGGGCGGTGCGCGTTGTCTATGGTTTCAGGACCGAAAATCTCGAAATTCTTGACAAGATTAGGACGACCTTAGTAAATTGCCCATATACTTGTGTCATTTTATTCGTATATTATGGACCACATGACACCATTGCCATTGCATACTTTTTCAGTTTGCTTAATTTGTTAATAATTAAATGACGCATAGTTAGGGGTATGTTTCACGAAAATTAATTTTTCCGAGATGATTTAATATAGCGGCCGGCGAACCTAAAGTAATTCTGAACAAATTTATCTATTTAATAGATTTAAAATATTGAAAATTCTCCATTGAAATGCGCTTTAATATTATAAGAAGGACAATAAATAAACAATGCAGTTTATATTTCGTCAAGAAATGTTAAATATTAGCCTTTTCTGACGCAATTATTCATTCTTCTTATGTCCTGCGTAACCAATTATCTACAAGATCTGTATCTTGTACATAATTGGAGGTATCCTGATACAATTAAAATTACAAGTAAGAACACAATGAGCCTGTGCTGCCAAGATTCAAAGCCTTCGCTTCTCTAGCATGTGAAATGTGCGAACAAAAATCATGTTCAAAATTTTACCAAAAAAATCGCAAAATCTTTCTAAACGTGAGTTGAAAACAAAGATATGAATGAAAATTTACTAGAAATTGCGTGAAAATTGAAATAATTATAAACTGATTAAGTCATTACAACGGAAAAAAATATAACTCATTACTCACTGCAGTGAGTGACAGAGAGCGCATTTTCTCGTCGACGAAAACTTGAGGTCACGGACAGACGGACAGACAGTCAGACAGACGGACGGACGGACATGGCGAGCACAATAGTGCATTTTTTCCATAAATGAGAAAATGCGCTAAAAAAAATATTATATGTCCGAAATGTGACATGAAACTATACGAAGCATGAACAGACAACATCTGGTAAATAAATTTAAAAAGATGAAATTTATAAAGCGTATTTTTGACGTTCGAAGCACATTTTCGACGTTCGAAGAGTTCATAACAAAGATAGTATGAGATTTAAACTAAAAATTTCCAAACAAATAAACTGAAATATTTATAATTTTAATATTATGAATTTTCAACCAAAGAAAATATGGTGTGTAAAAATTCCGAAAAATTGTAACATTTTAAAGTGTCTCTTCGGAATAAAAGTTGTCGATATTATATACGACATCTAAACTACAATGCTCTTTTCTAGTATACCAAAGCGATTTTGAATTAGGATACCAAAGGATAGTCTGAAGCTGGGATTCGTAAGTAGTACAATGAATATTTCTTTCATTAAAATCTATGTGCATTGATGTTTTGTAACACATTTTGAATTTAATAACTCGTATAAAATGACGGAAGTGTGGGCAAATTTGAAATTCAAACCAGTCATGTGGTTTAATTAAGTTTCCCACGAGTTTTCAGTTTAACCTCGTGCTTACATTTTAGCCACTTGCATTCAGTTAGCCACGTGGGTTCAGTTTAGACCGTCACCTTTAAAAACCGTCAACCGATCACTTTATAATACATGTGCTCATAATTTAGGGGGAATTTAGAAATTATTTACCCAGTTTTTGCGCATTAATGGTTGTGTAAGTGCCTGAATGAAAAACCAAAGTTTGATTAACGCTCATTGACACGAAGATATTATAGATTTTTGGTTTTTGCATTACCTTCCGGACGGTCGTAGGAAAGGTTGCTTTCAAAACAAATAAGTGAATTGGACACATAGGCGGGGAAAAAGTTCGTGAGATATACAGATCGCGATATTAAACTCAATGTTATCACACGTGAATATTCATACCGTTCAATGTTCAATCAACGATATTTGTTTCACAAAATTAATTGCTGGTTTGAAATCTACTATCTGGAAGAAAATTAAATCGAACACCTTTAAAATATTCATGCAACACATTACACTTGTCATGCATATAAGACGTTCTATTTAGCATTATAAAATTAAAAAATTCTTAATAACTCTTAACTCACCCGCAGTTTTCTTCGGTTTCCGCATAAATTGATGACAAGATGCCTGATGAGAAGACCGAATATTACCAATGCTGGCACCACCACCGTAACAGCGATTATGATGTTTTCAATCATTGTGAACAATTATCATACAATGCGTTTGCAGACAGTAATAAACGTTTTTCTTTTTGGTTTGTGTGCTTGGAATTACTTTTGCTAAGTTTATTTTGAAATAATCTTGAACTGTATGCTTCGATAATAAACTACTAAACTCGACTTTGAAATGAGCACTGTAGCACTGGATGTCTTCCAGCTCTGTCCAACCGTCTTGGTGACCAGAAAGAGACTGCTCAGATTAGCTGGAAGTCGCTCACATATTTTGGATTGACTTGAGAGTCCAGGTAGTTTTCGAGGCTTGTTTTTTCTGTCATTTGACACCGCAAAAAACTCCCACAGTAAGCCTAAGATCAATAACAGTCCCGAAAGGCCGAACGTGAATATTCTGGTTCATTAAAAAAAGTTTGAACTTACGCACGGGCTCCTTTGTTTTTATTATACATGTTTTCAGAGTATATTTCAAAATGAGTTCTTAGAGAAAATCTATTGAAAATATGTGGGAAAATCGTTGTTTCTCGACAAACTAATTTGGGTGAAAATTGTATGCCCCATTTTCTGAATTTTGTCTTTGCTCTCCTGAAAGTTGTGCAGTTTACTACAAAACTAGTAACGAGAGAGACAAGATTTCATTATTCATTCACATGCTGTCTTAGAAAGAAAAAAACATGATCAATACATTTGATTTAAATTTCGATATTATCTGCTACAGAATTTATTGTACTCGTAGGCCTATAAAGCATAAATAATATTCCTTGCCCACAAAACACACCGATTTGAAACGCTTTAATTCTAGGCCCATCTAATGGAGGAACTGATAAGCTGTCGAAATGATAAGTGACTGACGAAGATTACTCACGTGGTCACGTGAACTTGACTAGAAATTGTATCTGATTGGTTTTAAGGCTTCAGAAGGAAGTGAATTGATTTAAAAAAATTGAAAGAGTAGAAAATTTCAAATTTAGTCGGGTATGAATGAAAAAAAATAATTTTAAACTTATCATCCATGCACGTTAATATATTTAGAGACTTTGGACTCTTGACTAGTGGAGTCGTGCGAAATAAATCTGCTTCAAAATATCCTTCTAGGTTATCATGTATAATATATTTGAATATTTCGCAATCTTTAAAGACTGATGTTCTTGGAAAAAAATTCACAGATCACAATAATTCGGATTGCACTTGAGGCCAGTGGGAACTCGAGAACGTTTTTAGAGACTTTGGTTTATAAATGAGAATTTGTGCTTGACAGGAATGAACTTTTACAAGTGAAGGTAATTAAAAATTCCAATTTTACGAAAGGACTCTATTTTTCACATGCATTCACAGGCATCAGTTAACGACTTTTCAGACCATCAATTATGTATTTACATGCTATTCACCCTAGACTCTCTACATTATTCTAGATTTAATCGATTTAAATTATGCTAAAAAATGGTAAGTAAACAATTCTCGACGCAACTAAGTAACTCAGAACATATCGCTGATAAAAAGTAAAGCAGTATTAGGGAAATGTTCTGAGAAATTGCGCCCTATATTCCACCATCTTGATGGCTTAATTTTGTCAATATTTTGTCTATTATTGCTGAAAAAATTTACACAGGGCAACCATCTTAATTAAGAATTATGAATGAGATTTAATAACACTTCACTAATTTTGATGTTACTGTTTTCTTTGCGCACTATCAATTTTACATTAAACGTGGATTTGAAACTTGTGTGATAATCACTTTAAATAAAGTGCTTTAAATCACTAAAACTAACTTCAAAATTATTCTACACATGAAGAAATATTTTCTATCGAAAAACAAAAAATATTGCGTTGATATCATTGATGATGTCAAATATTGCGTTGATTTGCTATCATTTCTTTACAGCTCAAAATTCGAAGGAGCTTGTACCTCTTATTAGCACCAAAATAACTGCATATGCTCACAGTACATACTCATCAATGCATACTATGTAACTAGATAGAAAATGGCACAAACAACATGTTTGACGCTAATTTTCTCCTGATTTCGGTTAATCAATGTGTAGCGTCATTGTAGACCGCATCTTAATCATAGCTGATGATCACAAAACACATTTTGGAATTCACAAAGAACGATCATTCGTGTTGACCCAAAATACTAAACGAAACTTTCCTTAACAATTGACGGTGCCGAAATTTCGCTATTGCTGTGCCTGAAATCTGCGCAATAAAAGCTAAAAATATAAGATGATGTTTGGCATTGTAACTTATAAAAAATGCATCAAAGTCCACACTTGTATTTAGATTACAGTACACGTTTCAGGCATACCTTAATTTATGCATTATAATAAGTTTAATCCATCGAATTATGACTATTATGGATTACCGTATTTGATTGTTCCAGTACGACGTACGCAACATTTGAACGTACGAAACATTTGAAAAAAAATGTACACATATAAAATGTTCGATCTGATTATCGAATAATCAAGTTTCCAGCTGGCGAAGTTTCACTTCATAACTTTCTTCCTTGTTCTTCATCCAAATAGAATTAGACTTTTTTAACTTATTTTGAAACTGGTATTTTTTAACTCCTTGTGCATTTGATATGTTCCTTGATATGCTGAAATTTACGTGATTGCATTTGTTTATCTCCAAGAAGAAATGTTATTTAGATATCAGTAACGCGGTGTTACAAACGAGATACATCATCATTTTATCTCTAAAGATTATACCTACTACAATTCAGCGGAATATCACGTTGGTTCGTTCCAAAATAATGAAAATTTGATCTTTTGTTAATTTGAATAGAGAGTAAACAGTTTATTTTTTCTCAGAAAAAGTGCTTGCTTCTTTATTTAGAAACCAGTAAGTTAAAATGCAACGTTTTCTTCTAAGCATGTACGAGTTTTCTAAGTACGAACTATTCAATTAATTTCGCACAGATTAAAGCTTTGAGAGATTTACATACTCAGCATGAACACATTTCCAGTAACTATAAGTAAAACGTATTATTCATTACTTTCGAACGCACTAACCAGTTGTTATAGAAGAGATTTTGCAATATTCAAAAGGTATTACATTTTATGATAAGTGGGCTGGAAATCTTATGTCCCGAAATATTTCGAACCCAGATTTATTTTAAAAGTTTTCATTATGTGATTTATCAATTTCCATTTGATGATTCTGCATAATTTCAACAGACTATTAAGTTTCGAATCGCATTTGTTAACTAATCCAATAATTGTATTCATCATATAAGTAAATTTATTCAAGCTTAATATGAATAACAAGATTAAGTTCATATTGTTGAAAACAAACTTAAATTATTTTAAGCGTCCATTGAAATCGTCATAACAAGAACTTAGTTACGGTGCGGACAGATTTTGTTAAGGAACTTTTTCATTTAAAAATAATTTTTTCATCATGGGAGCGATCACACAAAAATTTTCCATTGCAAATAATTTATTTGCTGAAAAAGCAAAGTTTCAACCATACGCTATAATTTTCTTGATTTTAAATAATTGATCTCGAAGCAAATAGATTTCGAATTTAAAGTTTTTCTACCATTACGTTCTTACTGTTGATCCAAGTGAAAAACATTCTAGTGATTTTCATTTATCCATCAGTCGGTAAATATAGTTCTCGTAAACTAAACTGTACTCAAAACTAATGTAGGCACTCAATAGTAACCAACTGCTAATTCAAAAACAATAATTTTGTACTGAATACAATAAAACAGTTTTTTTAACCACGGCATATCATGTGTATCAATAAAGTGCAATTCATACATAATCAATTGTTTTCTACACACAGCAGCGAAATTTTATTCTGTGCCATCGAATCCACAACATATATTTTGATTTACATATAACAACAGTATTTGAAAAATTTTTTATAGAAATAAAAGGCAGGGATATTATTGAACTGTTCAAGGGTCCTTCTCGTTTCTGATGATTTTTCTGATATATTGATTTTTCAATATCGAGTACATTTTACAATATTACAAACGGGTACTTAAGCATAATACACCTGATAACTTTCCTCATCACCAACACAATATTTCCTTTTGTACTGTCAATATCGTGTCAATTCGTTTCTTTTTAAATAAACCTTGAGCCCACCTAATTTTCAACCCACGTACTTTTCTCTATGTTTTTACATCGTACGAAGCATTAATTTATTGGTCAACATTCCTCTAACAATTCTTTACGTTAATGAACCGGTTATTTTACATGCATATTTAATCCACTCGTAGAACTTAAAGCCACCGAATAGTTTGTCGAACTCAATCATTGTGTAAGGGGAAAGGAGTTTGCATCATCAACAACACATCAACATTCAACAATGATGTTGTGGTGGTAAAATTAATTCAATTTAAGAAAAGCTTCCAGTAAATAACAATGAATATTTTCAAAAATTACTTATTACCTCCATGACTCGAAGTATCATTTAGTTTTCTTTGAGCATAATCTAGGTCATATCTCATTTTTCTTTCTTTACAATTAATTTAATTCCCCTCTTTACAAATGACAGACATATAGCATACAAATATTTACAAGTCTTGCAGCACTCAGTTCTAAAATTCGGGCATTGATAAGATTATTCCTCTTACTTTTTTCGGAAATAAGATTATACCTCCTATCTTTTGATAAGAGGTGTGCATTTCCATTAGAAATTGCATAAGTTGAAGTTTTGATTCGAATAAGTACCTGAAAAGCGCCAGTAGTGCATGCTACGTTCAAAACTAATTATCCTGCTGATTTTTTGGGAGTTAAATAGTCTTCTTAGACTTAAAATTTACTCTACTGGAATGGATGCCAAGTTCGTTACAAGACATCGGTCTTGTTCTTGAAATCGGTCTTTTAACTGTAAGCTACTGAATGTCTTTCAAGTTACATGGCATCAAGTACGTTACTAGACATCGGTCTTTTCACTGTAAACTACTGAATGTCTTTTAAGTCACATGGCATCAAGTAGGTTACAAGACATCGGTCTTGTAACTGTAACCTACTGAATGTCTTTTATGTTACATGGCATCAAGTAGGTTACAAGACATCGGTCTTTTCACTGTAAACTACTGAATGTCTTTTAAGTCACATGGCATCAGACATCGGTCTTGTAACTGTAACCTACTGAATGTCTTTTATGTTACATGGCATCAAGTAGGTTACAAGACATCGGTCTTGTAACTGTAACCTACTTAATGTCTTTTTAATTACAAGGCATCGAGTAGGTAACTAGACATCGGACTTGTACCCTACTTAACAAATTTAATAGGATGAAAATTCAATTGAATCCCATCATTCAAGTTTTTCTGAATAAGGTTATGCGCTTCCAAATTAAAGTTGAAGATACGCATGTAATAGCTGCTAACTCGCGATTGCAATTTACTATCGTTTTCATTCTAGGGTCACACTGAGCCACGATCATCAACTATTTCTTTGCTCGTAAAAACTATTTTTACAATGGAAGAAGATTCATATTAATATACCAATGACAATATCAGAATTTTGTTGGAATTAATGAAGGCGGAAGATTAGGGAAAATACCGACTTTTCAAACTATTTACAACGAAAATTTGAATTAATTTATCCAATTTATTGAACATTTCTTGCTTAAAGACGAATAAAAAACAAACAATTTTCAATCGAGTAATATTTTTGGGGAGGGATTGATATGCAGAGATTTTTGGGCTCATATTTCCTACTAACAAGGGTTGAGGAATTAATGGTTTGAAGTCAGTAATCTAGAGGTTTAATATACCTAGGTTTTTCTAGTGGAATATCAACGCTAGAGGGGATTCTTCTAACAGGTCTTGGCCCAGGGGAAGATAAGCTATGTTTGCCCTGCATTGAAGGTCTGGGTGACAGATGGCTCACTGGGCGTCCGGAACGGGTAGATCTGAAACGACAATTTATATTCGTAAGTTGGGGTTAGAATCATTATCTTATAATGCATTTATATTCGTAAGTCGGGGCAAGAATAATTATCTTATAATGTATTTGCCTCCACAAGTCGGGGTAATGAATTATTATCTTATAATGTGTTTGCTTCCACAAGTCAGGGTAAGAATAATTATCTTATAATGTATTTGCATTCATAAGTCGGGGTATGAATAATTATCTTAAAATGTATTTGCGTTCACAAGTCGGGGTAATGAATTAGTATTTTAAAATATATTTGCATTCACAAGTCGGGGTAAGAATAATTATCTTAAAATGTATTTGCTTCCACAAGTCGGGGTATGAATCTTATCTTATCGGGGTATCTTAAAAGTATTTGCATTCACAAGTCGGGGTAATCTTGAGATAAACTATTATAATTTTTTAGGGATATTATTATCATGAAAAACTTCTTGAATTCGTTAGTCGAGCAATGAACATTTGATTTCATAAAAATACTACCTAAATTCATTAGTTGGGTCAATAATTATCACATATAAAACTACTTGCGACCATAAATCTGGTTAAGAGCATTTAAAATTTTAAGGAGAAGAATTTGAAATTGATCTGCCGTGGTAAAATAAATTTGAATCATAACAAAAATTATTTCCGCAGTTAAGTCCGGTTGTGTTGTACTGTTAACTGTAATATTACAACATCTACCTAAATCATATTCTCTCGATTCACTGTTGGGAATGATACTTGTACTAAAAATGAATTAACTTAAATTTCTGATAACCATAGATGAGACATGGTAGTTCAAAATTGGTTTAGGCATTCCAAACTAAATTCGTGAGAAAAAACTTTTGACTATATATAAATAAGTTAGTTCTCTTTCTGATATTTCCCTTAGAATTCATAACATCATTTATCATTGCAAGACTGTTAGCTAAAATATTTTTATTATCGTTAATAATCTATCTTATTCGAAAAGCCGTATAGCTCAATAAGTCCAAAGAAGTGTCTTTAATCCATTCGACGTGTACACATGCAAAATGGCTTTGATAGTGGAGTCTAAATCAAATTCAACGGCTTTATATGTGTTTAATTTACGTGGGATAAAATCAACCAGATTATACGTTTAATTGTGACAGTGTCAATTATTAATTTATTTTAAAATAAAAAATACTCTTCACGTGCGTACTGAAAGTTTAACGAATATTTATGGCGTGTTCAAGCAGATAGAAATATTGGTATTATAGGAGATTTTTAGGCAAAATAATATATCATTCAAGAAAATTTTCATAAGATTCGTATGAGAAAGTATCAATAGTAATAATTCACCGATACGACTCTTCAATATCAACTTATTAAAATACACGTATATTATTTTATCAATGATGCCTAATTAGTTCAACGGTACCTTTCCTATTACGACACGCATCAGGCATTATTTCGAGACTGCTATAGTTGGAATGATTTTGCATGCTTCGTACTTCCAAATTAGGTATTTTTCGCCTATTCATGTTTAGTTCTGCTAAGTCATTAATTAATATGTAAGTACGCTTGTAACATATTATTATTTTATCATTCAATAATATGCAAGTTATATATACGTCTCCAAACTGTGCGAAAAAATCTTTATTTTCACCCAAAAAGACCATATCGTCCGTACTCTTAAGATCGCCGCAATTTAAATAACATCCTTTTTCTAGTTCAGGTTCCGATAATTCATTTACTATAGTAACCCCATTAGACAGTGTTTAGAAACGCAGACCGAGTCATAAGATATCAAGAATTTCATTGAAAAATTAAGTTAATTTTTGCCAACTAAGCTGCCACAAACTCGTAAGCGTATCCGTGCAATAAGTATATTCAAATCCTTATTAAACCTTCGCCCATGAACATTGAAACTGTCAAAATTTTAAATATATTTAAAGATTGTATCTAGGGGAGATACTTTTCACTAGAAAAATGGGTATTTTGCAAACTAAATTACTGATAATAGTCTTAAGACGTCATATATAACATTTTAGCAGGATGTGTTAAAGTCTAAGGAAAGTGATATATAGGTTCTTTCGAGAAAAAAAAACTATGATATTACACTATTAATCAAAATATCGGCTATTACTGATCTGTCTACTATGAAAATACTTTTATAAAAGGGTATTTTTTTCATCTAAATTATATGACACTGCTTTTCATACTAGCATGGTGCCGTGCTATCATATACATTGCCTTAGAAAAGCGTTTCAACTATTACCCTGCAAAGGTAAAGGCTATATGTCCAAAAATATTTGTATTAAGATAAGCACACAAATCATTGAACTCGGCGATATTTGATCAGTGAAAATATATACTATATCGGGCTAGCAACAATATCTCGGAAATCAAATTTTGTTTATGAAGAAAAAGCCTGGTTATGGATTTTAAGCTCAATTTACGCGTGATCAATTTACATACACATTATCCATTAAACTGTTTCTTGCAAGAATTAAAAAAAAAGAGGTCACTGTGCCTCTAAGTTAATTTTATAATTTAACTATGATTTAACCCGCATAAATCTTTTTTAAAAATTCAACGAGGAGGGATAAAAAACACAAAGAACGTATAACACCACACGTCAGAATAATAAAGATACACAAATAGCTGATTAGAGGAAGGATGAAGGTGATTATTGAAATAACATTATTTTAATCTGAAGTACCGCTAGAATCTGCTCGTAAAAACAATTAATTCGATGGAGCATTTCCTTGTATTATGTTCTATTTAGTACTTCACATTCACGCGCACCAATTAAAATTGAACCTGTAAAAATTTTTAAAATAATTAAAGATTGTATTAGAAATCAAGCTTGAAAGAATGGAAAATAGCGTCGGCAAATTTATGTACTGAATGGCTGCCAGCAAAACGAAATAGATTCATTTATGGAACTTTCCACCATGCTCACCCTGAGCTTTAAAATATATGTTATTAATGAAAAATCTTTAAAACCATTACGTTAATTCTTGGCATATTCTTCGAAAGACAAGCGTCCATCATAATTCAATAAATAAATATAATTTATGAAACAATGAATTACTTAGACAACAACCAGCACAAATTTCATCGATAATAAGCTGTGCATAAGAAAATTAATAAACACTTAAATTTTCATTATTTTCTTGTGCAAAATGGCTTTTGAATTATGTTAACACATGGTTGTTGACTAAATTAACTGAAAATAAATTATTTAAAATAAAATTATGTCTTTACGAGCAGTGAATTACGGATAGAATGATAACAAAATAATACATGCAAGAGGAGCACACGTAGAACAATAAAAAATAAAATCTAACACCAAGATAGACACACAAGAACGCGAAACACACACGAAACTTCATCTAATTTCTAGTATAAAAATTGCATTAAACCACAAAGTTCAACCAGAAAAAGGTATTAATTTATAATTTAATTGTAGATAGATGTGGAAATGGAAAGGTTTTCGTTCAAGACATTAACGGTTATGAATGGACGACAGATATGGTGACAATTGATTTTTGCAGTGATTATAATCAATTTTTTGGGTATTTTTTTATTTACTCCGGAATTCAGATTGTTTATGAATTGCCAATAAAGTCTGAGAGAATAATTTTCTTGTACTTCTCATCATACTTTAGATCTGAAAAGGTGATCTAATATTTAAGTTTCCAATAGCTTTTGACGGGATTGGAACATCGATCAAAGGATCCTTAACTTACCAGATCCACGAGTTGATGACATAAGTCAAGAATGTCGAAGAGACAGAGAGAAGTAATGCTCACAGGAGATGCAAGACAGATACTAGGTATTCATACGAAAATCATTCATGAATTAGTCTTTGGATGGAATTTATAATCGCTTGAGTTTATTTTCTGGAACAGTTCTATAGTTAGTTTTGATTTTTAACTCAAAATATACCAACTAAATTCACAATGTTAATGCCAATTCTCATATTGCGGTCTCCTTTAATATTAAAACAGCTCCCAACGTTAATAAATTTATGAAGAAATGCATCCACCAAAAAAATAAATTACCCAGTACGAATTTTTTAAGTTCCGTTATGCTCGTAATAAAGAGCGAACATGGTAATTCAAAATATTCCTTTGAATTGCAATATATTTTTAGAGTAAATTCTACAAATTCGAAAGACTTTTTTGTAAATAATTCTCATGAATGAATTAAACTTTTAAACTGTTGCTGACTCGCTTGCGAAAATTCTTTCGTGCTACTGTGGTTGAAAAATTTTTACCTATATGAAATAAGTCAAATTGAGACACTTGTCAGTTTTAAAATTTGATGTCAATAAGTTTGAAACTTTTTTAATTACCCGGAATTAGCTACCATTTTTGTATAGCAAATCAAGAAACTAAAGCTGTTATTTGATTTTTCAGTTAACAGATATGTTTAGAATTCACATTTGATCTAATTTTAAGTCAAAAATTAATTGTTCATCTCAAATCCATTACTGTTGCCTATTTGTTACTTAACACAAAATAATGTAACATTAAAGGCACCCTCAATGTTGAATTTTACCTAACGAACCTCAACCTTTTAACCCTTACTTGAACAAACTAAATTCGATAAGGAGACAAATACCTCGGAATATTGGGTGAAATTTTATCCATATGACACATGTTAATTTAATGAACAACAGCGACTAGCACAAGCAAATGGCGATCACCGATGACTTAACTTGGGTGAAATTTACAAGCAACAGTTAAATCATAACAGTTGGACAAGCTACACCAACCTTTCCGATCGACCCAATCAAAAAGGAAGAAAGTGAGGTTTGAAATGTCAGTAAATCGAATTCCCTTATTTTATCCCCTTTTTCAGTATTCTTGGTTCATAATTTGATGTGTATCACGTATCTTTCTCCTAATTAAAATAAAGGTAGAAAAATAAGAAACATTTATAAATGAAAATTGGAAACTTTCCAAAAAAAAATTCTATAACGAGAAAATCTACAAAAAAATTATCTGGAATGAATTCTTCTCATTACTCAAATCATTGAGTTCTAGCTACAGTGAAACCGGAATTTGGGTTTTTCCTGGGCAGTCACCAATATTCTTCTCAATGATTATTTTTATTGTCATTGTAAATAAATGCCCGCGATTCCGATTCAACCCCATAAATTTATTGCTTAACTAACCAAATGTTTTGCCTCGAAACTTATATAGTCACTAATTGAAAATTGTACGTTTTAAATTAAATTTATTAATGACAAAATTTATTCTTCCGAAACTGACCAATAAACTTCAATTCAACAGTGCAATAAGAAACTTTGGCTTAAGTGAATGTTTTCTTTTAATATTCATGAAAGGCGGTAGCATTTTGTGCAACTGCCACGATTTTCACTGTTCTATAGCGAAGCTTGTAGCCACGATAAACTCCACGCAACATCAATAGGAGTCACCACTCACCTACACGAACCACTCTTCCTTTTGCTGTAGCTCTGCGCCGCTTGCCGCGTTGCTGCCTCTGTTTAGAGTAGCGCACGCAGAAGAAGGAGGCCGACCACCACGACCTCCCGACATGACTGTCGCCGACACACCAGACCCGACAATGCAGGGCGCCTCGGGTTTCCCGGAGACGAATCTAGGGTAATTTTGCTGTTATATTTTAGGTAAGAAACTTTGAACCAAGTGTAAGTGAATATTTTATCTCGGTTGGATCTAATTGTTAGTACTCATGATTACTGAGCCGGACAAATTTGGTCAGTTTATCTTTGGAAGATCAACTTCTGCATGCTAACATGTTTTTATTTTGAATTATTTCTGAGAAAATAAGCAAAGACAAAGTCGAGCAATTAATAGTTTTTCGAATTTACAATGGTGAAAACAAAGTGATCGTGGTTTTTCTCTATAAATTTTCTCAATTCCTACCATTCGAGTTCCGGTGACTTAAAACTAAGTTTAAACTGTTCGTTACCATTGCCTTAACGGAGCTTTGAATGCATAAACGAACAGGCCATAGATATTTAACGACGTCACTATATCTATCTCGATAACATAAAAATTGTAAGGAGCACCCTAGGTAATTAAATACTATTGTGTGAATCACAGCCTAGAGCCTGGCAGTAGAGAGGAAGTGCAGAAGCTGTTTCATAAAACCCATAAAACCATTAGCTAATATTTTAGAAGATTTCATCACAATGGAGCTTAATCATCAATCATCTCTAATCATTCAATGTTAAATGAGCCTGATTTTCTGAATAGTAAAAATTGTAGCTTAGATCTGTTACTAAAAACTCACGTATAAGGTTTTTTGACTGGGCAAGGTTCTTCAGTTACTCTTTGCCTGAGACATTTCAAAATATTACAATACAATAAAATCTTATCTGTAGCCAAATACATTTGAATATCGTCTGACGTTTCTTTTCAACTGAAATTTATGTGTGCCGATGAGAGGCAATTAGTCATGCTATAGCGAATGATTCGCGCACGCTTCTAATATCATTTAAATACATCCCCAATCCCTGTTCACACTTCTTAACCAATTCTTAATATTTTCTAGTCAGGCGCTTCAGAGTGATCTTTAAAACGTAAAATTTCGAGTGAAAAATTTCTTGTTTCATGCCTGGTTTAATTAATTATCAATAATCTTGAATTTTGAACACGGCAGAACTGCATTTTATGCATTTATGTCCTCGTAGAACGTATAATATCCTAGCAAAATAGCTGTGGATGCTTGTGCGGCATTTCCCAATATATCGACACATTTTATCCGTAGTTTCTTTTTGAACAATTTTCATAGCTTACTAGCATAAAATGGGAAATAAAATAAATAAATCTTCAGAACAAAATTCGATTTTACCGCACTTTGACTTTCAAAATTGCTCGTTATAACGCCCGAAGAACCTTCGTTTATTTGTAAAGACACGGAGGAAAAAGAGCAATTATTGAGAGAGTAATAAAATTTTTCGAACCTTGATTTCCTAAATTAGTGTCTTGTAACCACATAGATTAAAAAGAGCAATTTTTGAGACAATAATAAAACTGTTCAAACCTTGATTTCCTAAATTAGTGTCTTGTAACCACATAGATTAAAAAGAGCAATTTTTGAGACAATGATAAAACTCTTCGAACCTTGATTTCCTAAATTAGTGTGGTGAGGTAGCCCGGGATACGGAGGAGGCTTCTCCACAAGCACTGTACCGTATGTGCCATTGGTGCCGTATTGTTCCTCCGTCTGACCCACTGGAAAAAATAAAATATATTCAGCCTACCGCGCCTCTTCGTATATATTATGGATTTAATGGTGATATTTATCTATAAGGTAAGACGCAAATGAATTCCTATGCAATATCATGTTATCCTATGCAATAATACGCTACACTTCACTACCCTTTACTGCATATACCACACTATACCTAATACACTACACTGCACTACTCTTCACTATACTATACTATACTATACTATACTATACTATACTATACTATACTATACTATACTATACTATACTATACTATACTATACTATACTATACAATAAACAACTCACGTTGATACTGTGCCTGTTGCTGGCTGCGCAAAGCTCGCTGTTGCATCAGGATCGCCATGCGTCGTCGTCGCTTCATACACACGACTGTGCCGAGCAAGACTCCCACCACCAGCACCAGCAGGCTTAGTACGCCGCTCACAGCCCATATCGCGCCCTCGGACAGCGATAACAGCTCCCCCAACGGAGGACCTGCCGAAAAGATGGATTAACACGGGCTGTTATCGCGCCCTCGGACAGCGATAACAGCTCCCCCAACGGAGGACCTGCCGAAAAGATGGATTAATACGGGCTGTTATCGCGCCCTCGGACAGCGATAACAGCTCCCCCAACGGGGGACCTGCCAAAAAGATGGATTAATACGGGCTGTCATCGCGCCCTCGGACAGCGATAACAGCTCCCCCAACGGGGGACCTGCCAAAAAGATGGATTAATATCTGGGGGCGATGGATTAATATGATATAAATGGATTAATATCTGGAGGGGCAAGATATTTGTATTTTTTTAATGAGTTCCCGGAAAGAAGCTCGGCGATTGAATGAATTACTGAAACTCGCTTTACACCCGGGCCCTATTATTGTTTAAACAACTTGTGTCTAAGCAATGTGTCTTAAAATAAAACATTAAGCGAGGTATGTTTTCAAATAGTGTGGAGTTAATAACTGTTTATTCAAAAAAATATTTATGAGAGATTTCGGCTTCAAAATTATATCTCACTGCAAGCCAGAAGTGCATTCTAAATATAAGGATATGAAAATTTAGTTATATTATACTACATTCAAATTCATTACAAAATATCAGGGGTATTTCCTCAATTTGAAACAAGATGACACTCCGCCTAATTAAAAAAATATCACTTAGTACTCACTGCAGTGAGTGACAGAGAGCGCATTTTCTCGTCGACGAAAACTTGAGGTCACGGACGGACGGACAGACGGACAGACAGACAGACAGACAGACAGACAGACAGACAGACAGACAGACAGACAGACAGACAGACGGACATGGCGAGCACAATAGTGCATTTTTTCCATAAATGAGAAAATGCGCTAAAAACATGACATATGTATCAGAAGATATCATTAAAAAATGTTGAATCTAAAATAGTTTCCCCACTTGGACATGACGCGTAGCTGTTAGACTCGTCGCTGGCATCACCGCAATGATTGACGCTGTCGCAGGTCAGCGAGCGCGACACGCAGAACTCGGTGGTCTCGCAACGGAAGTCTCGACAGGCGTCTTCTGGGGACAGTGCATCTTCTTAACTCCGATGATTTGCCTTGTAAACTATAATAACATATCTTTTGAACTTTTATAATATATTTCTCAGTCCGTTATTGAGAATAATGTATTATTATCATATAATGAAGAATGCATATATGCATTATTATCATATAATGACTAAGGCATATATGCATCATTATCATATAATGACTAAGGCATCTATGCATTATTATCATATAATGTATAATGCATATATGCATGGTTCTCATATGAATAATAATGCATATATGCATTCTTTTATTGTGCATCGATTAAACCCATAAAACAGATCCTTTAAAGCTTTTAAAGTTGTTTCTTCTTTCTTTCTTGCATGTCAGGCAAACAGGAAGCAACGCCTCCCTAAGCACTGCATTAATTTATCCACGATAATTTATTCCACTTATTAAGGTAAAAATAATGTTATATTTCATCTAAAAGTAGAAATTTCTATTACTATTTGCTGCAAACTGGAAGCTACGTTTCTTAATTTCCTTGTGATATTTAATTACTTTAATTGTGATGTAAATTTTGTCTCCGAAGAAAATAAATTCAGTTGCTTTATGGTTTTAAAGAGACAGAAAGTTAAATCAACATTTTATTAAATAATACATCTAAATTTTTTATTTTTCATACATAACTCGGTTGTAGAGTTCTGTGGGTTTTTCAGCCGTTATCAGCATTAATTATTATTGTTCAAATGAAATGTAAATATTCACATAAGTCTGATGTTATAAGGGTGAGAGAAGCATAACACAAATTAAATTAAATTATTAAATTGAACTAAAGTTTGAATTTAATTAAAATTAAATTTGAAATTAAAAATTAATTAATAATTCATTATATATCACTAATAATAGAAAATTGTTTCCTAATTGTAATTGCAATAGCAAATCAACCAAAATGTCGAGCAAATTCTATATAATTCCATTGAAAAAATTTCCTCTAAAATCATAATTATTTCACTTGGTTCTTCCAAAGCTTTTATATTCATGAATAATTCGCGAATTCTGCAAACTAATAATATTTCTGCATGCAAAGAGGGACAATAAATTATTTGTATGGTACATGATACATATTGAAAGAATTTAAATCCTGGGTAAAAACTAATGCATGGTTGAATATGCATTTAATATAATATAATTTATATGATTATTCTAACCTTGATTGAATAAGTTTACAATTATGAATTTAAGACCGCAGTTATCAAGACAATCGGGCAATGATGAGTCCCAATTAATTACTGCGATTTCTGTTTGTTTGTCTTTTTCGGTAATCTTACATACTTAAAAATGACACTAATCACAGATAACAAAATTTTTTATCCAACCAACGGTTTTGTTGAAATGTTATAAGTGGTAACACTGTAGCGGGAACATCATGAACAGCCAAAAGTCGAAGGAAATGCATAATTTTATTTTTAATTTATAGTAGATTATACGATAATCATAAATGTAAAGTGGGGTTTCTAAGCATATGACGTTCAATCGTGTCGCATGACGTTAAAGGTAAATAATTATGGTAAACATATATTATTTTAAATAATTTATATTCAATGCATTTATATATACAGGTGTAATGAAATAACTAATAAATGCTTAAAGCGATAATAAATACATGTATGATGCTCTAAATAATACATGTTTAATGCATTTATAAATAAAATTTCAATGAAATAACTATAAATATTTAGCGTAAGAATAAATAAAAGTTTAATGCAGTAAATATTTAATGCATTTATAAATACAAGTGTAATGAAAGAACTAATAAATGTTTAATGCGATAATATATACAAGTGTAATGAAAGAACTAATAAATGTTTAATGCGATAATAAATACAAGTTTAATGCAGTAAATAATACATATTTAATGCATTCTTAAATACAAGTGTAATGAAAGAACTAATAAATGTTTAACGCGATAATAAATACATGTGTGATGTAGTAAATATATGTCACTCACTCTTATGCTTGAATGCCGTGATGATGAGCCTGAAGCCGTTGCTGAGCGGACCCCATTCATCTGTCTTGTACTTCAGCGTGACGTGGTTACTGTGTGTGTAGATCGTGGCTACGTTCTGAAGAGTATCCCGACATGACAAGTCCTGCAAAAATGCAATTAATATCAATACTTCAACACAATGAGAAATAAATAAACACAATAAATAAATGAGCAACGCATAGAAAATTTACACATGAGATGCCACTCAGCAGAGACCGCATTTAACTCGCAAATCGTAATTAAAAACCGTATAATATTGGTCAGAGCTACGATTGATGGGTTCGATTGCCACATAATAAGAATGAAGTTGTTTTGATCTCCCTAAAGAGTTGTGGTTTAGTTTTGTCTATAGAGAATATAGTTTCAATTAAAGGCTAGCGACATGAGTTGTGTGGTGACGGGAGTGACATTGACGTTAGATATTTTCACGAAATCACGAGTCATCCATTTTTGAATTGAACGAAACTACGTATTTGCCATAGATTCACGAATTCACGGATTGCGCGTTGCATCGACATAATGTTTTGCTAATAATTTCGACCTGTGAATCCAATTATATCAAGCCTGTTCATGTTGCAATTAGGATTGTCTGCTAATTTTTTGTCCCTTCGAACCACTGAACACACACTAATGAATGTTGGAAGCTGGGCAAGCTAGCTATTTCAAATGTTATTTATGTCAAAAAATCAAAATTAATCCGTATTGAATTACAATATTGTAATTTCAAATTATTCCCACTGATCCGATCGAGAGGGCACTTTCCTCGATGAGATTGTCATGCTGAATTCATTTCACTATGAATCTCCCAAAAACTTATCAATGTTTTGATATAGTATCCCATGTCTTTAGCCTGAATATATTCTCGATCCTTGCAAGGAAATCATCCCAAAAAGACGCATGGGGAAAAAAATGCGCACGTACCTGAGCGATTCCTATTTCTTTCGGGAAATAATTTCTTCGACGCTGAACACCAAGGAACGAATTTGCATAAGACTTGGTAATCCGACTACATAAATATCGTTGGTAGGTCCTGAGGCTTCATATAAATCTCCCAGAGAAAAGTTACAGAGCTTGTGACAAGCACGACGCCGAACTTGGACAAGAAAAAATGTATTTCAAAAGGAATAATTATCATATAAAAAAATTTCATTCTGATTCCCGGATTTCCGGTTTTTCCAAATAAGATTCAATTTGAATTTACTTTCATCAACATTCCAGCATGCAGTACCACCTATATAAATCGTTTCAACATTATCATTCCAAAATTGATGTTCGTGTGAAAATTCGCTTATTCAATGTAAAAAATCAGTAACTGCTAATTAAGTCATCATTTTCAGGAATCATTACAACTCTCCGAACTGTAGAGGTAAGAAATGTGTATGCCTTAGTATTCTCATTACCGTTTAATGTCCGTATGGAAAGTGTACTGTTCAGAAGCACCTTTCGAAGCACTGTATCGTTGATAAATAGAAGATTTGGACGTTGACGTCGAACATTACGATTCATAATAACCATTAACCAATCAATAGTTTTACTCGCATTTAAAATCTATAGGTCACAGTTTTAGGGAATAGTATCAATTAACATAAATTAAAAATGATTATTTTAGTACTCGTGATTAAATTTAGTACTTCAATTTCAGTTTTCCGATTTCGTTCAGACTTTACCGGACTTTAGGTTATTCATCACGACAGTCTTTTGTTCATTCATGTTTTAAAGACAGGCTAGAGGGGATTACACGGCACAACGCATTGTACATTCCCGTTCCTGAAATGCATGTTTAACAACTCGGTGTCTTTTGTACGTACTAAATATGCAAGACAGTGTTTGAGTGATAAATCCCCCAACAACAGCACCCTTCAGTTAGAAGGGAGTGTCCCTCAACTAATCGCTATCGTAAATCGAACAATAGTATTATCAACCATGGCCTAACGAAAATAATTATTTGTTTTTCGTTCAGAATGATGTACTATAATGATAAAAGTAACCTTTGGAGGAGCTACTGCCGAGTAGGCGCTATCGTAGGTTCAACGGTGATCATAAAATTACATCCAATGGCTTTAAAAATAGTATGTATAACTCAGTACTCACTGCAGTGAGTGACAGAGAGCGCATTTTCTCGTCGACGAAAACGTGAAGTCACGGACGGGCAGACAGACAGACAGACAGACAGACGGACATGGCGAGCACAATAGTGCATTTTTTCATAAATGAGAAAATGTGCTAAAAACAATTAGCATTTTCACTCTCGTTCACAACGATGTAATTCCAATAATGTAATCTTATAAACGATGAAGATTTTTAGTTCATTTGAAAAACGAGCACATCTTACATCAAAAATAACCATTAAGTGAATGCCTGTCGATTTATAATATATAATTATAATTTATATTTCCGCTTTCGCTCACAACTAGCTTCTTATATCAAAAGTAACCTTTAGATGTATGCCTGTCGATTAGGCGGTATCGCAGGTTAGGAGATGATCATATTATTAAATCTAATAGCATTACAGAATTTAATATTTCCATTTTCGCTCACAACTATCTTCTTATATCTAAAGTAACCTTTAGAGGAGTGCCTGTCGAGTAGGCGCTGTCGTAGATCCAAAGATGATCATTGCAGTCAAGTTCGATTTTTTCGAAGCGCAGCATGAACTTCTGCAATATGGTGTCGGTCTGGAAGGTGACTTCGCAGTCGAGTTCTCTTTCAGCGTTCGAAGTGATGAGGGAGCCAACGATCACGCGGGTCTGATGACGCGATCCACGACAGAGCTCCGAGATGGGAACTGGAACCGAGAAAAAAAAAGCTTAGTGGCTGGTTTTCAGGGCACGGCCAATATAAAACATTAGGGTTTGTCTCACATTTGTACGGCTCTGAATGATAAGAAGCGGGTTAATGGATGAATTTTGATGCACATCTGTAACATAGAATCAAATTATGTCTCATCTGAACTGCAACCCTAACAAAATTTAGAGTCGCCCCAGCTTCTGGTAATCCAAATCAGAAGCTGCCGCGTCTGTAAATTTTCACTGGGAATGAGTGATAAAAAACGGGGTAATGAATGAATTTTAAGGTATAATAATATAATATATAATAGCCATAATACAGTGTCAAGTGTGGTCTAGTATTTGAACGGTCCTGAATGAGAATAAAATCGGTCAATAACTGGATTTTAGGCCACATGAACATTACATTTTACTTGACATGAATCATTAAGATTTGTCTAATATTTGAACGGAAGTAAATGATAAAAAAGCATGGCAATGGATTAATTTGTTCGCCACTTTTATACAGTATCAAGTTATGACTCATATTTTAACTGCACTGGATGATAAAAAACCGTTTAATGGCTGGATTTTAGGTCAATGCTGATAAAAATTATTTCACTTTTTTTTAACGGAGCTGAATGATAAGAAGCACTTACGTGAATGAGTTATAGGGAGCAGCTGTTATAAAGTATCAAGTTTTGCCTCATTTGAACCGCACTGAATTATAGAAAAAAAAACAGGGCAATAGATTAATATTTTAATGCACAGCTGTTAGAAAATATTCAGTTATGTGCATCATTTAAGCAGAAATAAAAAGGGAAAATTAGGGAACTTGCAAGACAAGTCCACCCTCAATATCTTGGAATTATGTCGCAAATCATACGATCTTAAATAAATCAAAATACTAGTGAATTACTTACATAATGAGTAAAGTTTTCCGATAGATTATGGAGTGATCAAGTCACGTTAAAACAATGACGTGGTATTGCGTGGAATTTAATTGTTTGGATATTATTGCATCCTGATCCATTCCCGGCTCGGTTACATATTAGATACAACAAAGCAGTTTTAATTATATTGATTTCACTGTGTTATAGTAGCCGTTGCGTTCGATGTAAAATTTCCGATGCTGGTTAGTTAGGAGACTCTTATAGTTTACAGTTCTGGGCCCATTCTTTCAAAAAAGTTAAGAGATCGTAAGTTCATCAGCCAATCATTGACGGCCTTTCAAGCAAAATCCACCAATCATAGACAAGAAAATAGAGCGTAAGTACTTACGTTCACTTAACGAGTTTTGAAAGTATAGGCCCTGTATGCGAACACTAAGATTTAATAGTTTCACACGAGCAGGTAATTCAACTTACTAGCCTATAATGGAACGAAGGGAAAGCTGAACGAAAAAACATTACGCTGCCATAAATGAAATTTCTGTGATTTAAATATGGCCATAAGCAGCAATCTATTATGTTAAAATATTTTTTTTTGTATTTGCTTATATTAAAATTTACATTAAGTATAGTGTTGAGGTACCGAATAATAACGATCCAGAAAATGCACAGATTTTTTGCTGAAACTCCTTCACACAAATTCATTACACTTGCAACAGCTCACTATAGTTGACCGACGATCATAAAAAAAACAGTTTCTTTATTGCAAACCACAACTACATTATTCATTATTCTGCAAATCTGCTCATCTTGGAGAGAATATTTTTATTACGTTTTTGGAGGACCAAATTCTCCTAAATGACAATTCGATCTTAGTCCTTTCCTTACATGATCTTACATGATGTGCGTCAATGGGAGATAGAAAACGTATCCTTACAATGTTCGGACGGATCGAAGCCATTAGCAAATAGCGGACCGGTCAGGTCAGGAATGCGCCAATGTCATAGAAGCACAACGAGCGAGCAGATGGAAGGGAAATGAGCTCATATTCAGGAAACGGAAATCAGCAAATGTGGCATAAATATTTATTTATTCTACAAATAAATGATATTTAATAAATATGAATAAATGATATTTATTCAATATACATACATCAGATCCAAGTCACTGTAGGTATTAATCGTTAAAAAAGCTCATATTCAGGAAACGGAAATCAGCAAATGTGGCATGAATATTTATTTATTCAACAAATAATGATATTTATTCAATATACATACATCAAATCAAAGTGACTGTAGGTATTAATCGTTAAAAAAGGGCATATTCAGGAATCTTACGGGAATCAGTAAATGTGCATGAATATTTATTTATTCAGCAAATCATGAAATTTATTCAGTATACATACATCATATCCAAGTCATTGTAGGTATTAATCGTTAAGAAGGCTAATATTCGAGAATCTTACGGAAATCAGCAAATGTGGCATGAATATTTATTAATTCAATAAATCGTCATACTTAGTCGATTAATATACATGATATCGAAGTCATTGTATAAAGTAACGAGTTTTCCGCCCGCTAAAATATATAAGAATTTTATGCAATCAGCGCATGCCTGTGCAAAAATATTTAGCATATCAATAAATCATGATATTTTCTCCCTTAACATAATAATGAAACTTATGCATAAATGATGTACAAGGCATTAAATGCATTGCACGCTAAAAAATATTATATTTATATATTTTACAAAATCAGCACATATACTATTATTATTTATTTATTAAATAAATCCTAAAGTTTGTTCAATTAACATATTAGCTTGACATAATAATGAAACTTAGGCATAAATGATGTACAAGGCATTAAATGCATTGCACGCTAAAAAATATTATATTTATAAATTTTACAGAAATCAGCACATATACCATTATTATTTATTTATTAAATAAATCCTGAAGTTTGTTCAATTAACATATACGAATTCCAAGTCATCGTATTTATTACTCGTTAAAAAAACTTTCTTTTGCAGCTGGTAGTACGAACTTTTTAAAATGAATAAATAAAACAACATTGAGCTTGCATTGATGTCTGCAAGGAAAATATCTTTGTTTTTCAGCCAAGCGAGAAAAAAACACAAATTTTCGATGCAAGTGATTGCAGTCTAAAAGTTTTTACTGTCGATAGGATTTTTTACACATTTTGTTATTACAAACACAGATAAATGTAATTTTTAGTTGTCGCGCGATGCAAGAAATAAAACTGCAACGAGCGTTAAAGTTTTTGCTCCGAGCGTTGTCGATATTAACTAACTAATTTATTTTATCTTAAATACTAAGTTTTCCTTTTTAGTGATTATTTTGATTATTATTATTTATTCTAGAAGATTATTTAGAAATTTGCCACCACGATTATTTAGAAAGTAATCTTGGTAGCAATCAAGTTCTGTGCTTGCTTAAGCAATGCCTGATTTTCTACAGGCGCACACAAAATACAATTTATCGGCATTATTTTTTAACTTAATGATCTTTATTATACATGTAAATCCATCTCTTATTTCGAGCACCTTTAATATTCGAACATGTAGCTTACTAGTTCTTTAATACTTTATAACATTATAATTGTTGATCCCAGTAATTCTTCTATTCGCACAAAATATTCTTGCACACACGCGAATAATGTTGAGAACCTGGACAACGGGTACCATTTTGACGCATTTTGCCGCCCAAATATTCGTATTTTTCATCTCCAGGTTATCCCGGAAATCCTCTTGGTTCCCACAGCGTCGTTGGCTCGGGCTTCGTTGGCCGCCTGACAGCTCACTCACTAGTTTATGACGCAAGAGAAAAATTGTTGGATTTACTTCACTATTTTTTTCTAGGCCCGCCGTGATTCACTTTCTTCAAGGAGTAAGGCCCATGACATTCAGCTAACCGAATATAGCGAAGGAAATGACGGGTTTTCAGAGCAGTTACTTGAAAAAATAAGCAAGAGGATTATCAAAGTGTTCTGATAATTTCGGTTTATGATTTGAAATGGGTACTTGTTAAAATGAATGGTATAAATTGAGAAAAAGCAGTTCTCAGCCTAGCTTCTTGTTCTAAATTCTAAAATATCCTGAAAATAATCAACACATTTATTGATTTTGCACAGTTATCTTGAAATTACTTGATTCTTCAAAACTGTGAGTATGCATTGCGCACTTGGCTTTCAGGGATAAAACGTTGCGCGGATTCCCGCATTAACATTTTCTGCTATTTTGAAATGGAAATTTTAATTAGCGTACCAAAGTACCTCAAAAAATTCGTTTTAAACTCGCTGGAGAGGGCCGAAGCCGGAATACCTCCCGTGCAAAAGCTTACGGAGTAACGACTTTTGCATGCATTAATTTACGAAGGTTTTTCCAGAACGCGGTACGCATCTGAAATCTGTTCTCAATTTTGAATATTGCACAGCACATTTAGAACTAGGTAGTAAAGATTCACGACAGGTGCATTTTCATGATTCGAGATGCTCATTTAACTGTATTTTTCCGAACTATTTGTGAAATTTATTTATAGTTTTCATTCGGTGGACCTTTCGGTTAGTAATTTCATGCTTTTAATAAAAAATCTAAAAATTAGCCGCTTTATTTTCTTATGCTTAGTAGCTCATGAATGTCCTCATAAAATTTGAATAATTAATTAACCAACATCTACAATATTTTTAATTGCAGTAGAATTAAATGCTGTGAAACAGTTCTTCATTTATAGCGTTACATTTATCTTCTTTCTGGCAATAAGTAAAGGATTTTCAAAATTGAATGCCATTTCATATGTTTCTTACAAAATTTATCAATTTACTCTATTCATAACGTGTTCTATGCAACTGTTTTGAGTGAATAGATACTAAGTGATTGAGTTTTATACCTATTATGGAGCCTGCAATGCTTTTCTAGCTTATACAGCCTTGCTATTTTATTTCACGTTTCTTATATATTTCATTGCAACATGTGCTCATGCGTGAAAAAATAAATCATATCAAAATCAAGGTAGGCGACGCATAATATTTTTCTGCGATGAAAACGACTTTTTTACTGGATGCTTCTCCCAATCAAATTTATCAGAATGTCAGAATGGCGAAATATAGTCG